CATTTCTCAAAGTCACCCCTGGAAATCCAAATAGTACATTTCTCAAAGTCACCCCTGGAAATCCAAATAGTACATTTCTCAAAGTCACCCCTGGAAATCCAAATAGCACGCACGAATGGTCTATTCGAGTAGTACGCACGTACGTTCTATTCAAACAGACAGGTGTTCCATGCAAATAGAACACACGGGTGGCATCTCTTTCTCTCTCTCTCTCTCTCTCTCTCACACACACACACACACACAGAACCGCCCTATCGCTCCCACCTGCCTTACCCGCCCGGTTGATCCCGCCCCCTCGCTCCCTTGCGATCGCTTCCGCCCGGGCTTCTTGACGGGCTGTTGTGTTGTTTTCCTTCTTCTTCTTCTTCTTCTTTTCTTTTCACATTTGGACTATTTCCCGATTTATGTGTGCCATCCTTGCACAGAGGCCATGCTAATCCCAAAGGACAAGTACAGATACAGGGTACTATTTTTTTGGCGGGGGGCCGTTTTCCGAAAGTTGGTACCCTGTATCCATAGCATAACGCGCACGACTTATATTCGAATAGAACCTAGCCCGTGTGTTCTATTCGAAATTAACGGATGTGCATTTTGTTCGGGGAAATTCTGTACGAACGTACTGGTGGTAAGAACTGGTGGTTTTACTCTGGATGCCTGGATGGCTCTCTCACTTGGGTCATCAGGACAATACACACATTTTCTGTTCTTCGCTGATCTTCGCTGATCACCACACACATGCATTGATTAAGAGGGCGTACTCACACATCAGTGGCATAGCAGCAAAATCTGTGAATTTTGCTATCCCGATTTTGCTGAAATGCCACCCCGTCCGGTCACATAGCGACAGCAAATGACAAAAGACACGAGCCGGACTTTCTGGCAATTGCCAAAATGGTGCCTCGCATGGTCACACAGCGCGAGGCCCAAAAATCCTTCCCAACTACTTTTTTCACCAAAGTTCGTTTCGAATTTCCTTTCACACGAACTCTAACTGAAAAATAAAAATAAAAATGCTACCACCTCAAGAAGTGGTAGCAAAATGCCCTTCCCCGCGGCCTGCCAGGCCGCTGACATTTGATACCCTGTTTGCTACTTTTGGCACTCTCTCTGCCTCGTGCGACTGGCCCCAACCATCAAATCAAATTTTGGCTATTTTTTGCCATAAAAAAAGGCCCTACCAGTAGTGTGAGTAGGCCCTAAAACAGCTTAGCAAGTTGAGAAAAAAAAGCAAACAACCTAACAACATCGTTTCACCCTTGTTCCATTGACCCCCTGAGCTTGTTTCTGAATAGTCGCCATTAATTCTGGACATGTAACCATCTGCCAGTTGAGCCAATTTATTTATAAACCTATTAACCTCTTCCACCATCATGGTCCCACCAATCTATCTTTCTATGCATCTATAAACATGTATGGATCTACATACCTCCCCCACATCTTTATCAAAGCACCAGTCCAGTAGTAAACCTGCCTATTCGTGCCCACCTTACCTCTGCCCGTCAGTCCGTCCATCTCTCTCTCTCTCTCTCTCTCTCTCTCTCTCTCTCTCTCTCTCTCTCTCTCTCTCTCTCTCTCTCTCTCTCTCTCTGTGTGTGTGTGTG